TGGGCAGGTGAGACCTCATCTCTACAATAAATCAAAAATCAGCCGGGCGTGGTAGCGCGCACCTGTAATTCCGGCTACTCGGAAGGCTGAAGCGGAAGGATCGCCAGAGCCCAGTGCGTCGAGGCTGCAGTGGCCGGGAGCGGCCACTGCACTCCAGTCTGGGCGACGGAGTGAAACTCCAACTCAAAAAAAAATTACAACAGCTGATATTTGATATGTTCCATTAATGTGGTTAAAAATAATATTAAATTCAGATAACATATTTATATCTACATATCTGATAAATCACCTGGAATTTGAAGAGTGCTATGAATCATGACAAGGTAGTGTGCATGTGGGCAAGGTAGAGCTGAACATGACACACTCAAGAAGGACATTGTTTAGCCACCAAGAAATCCAAAATGCCCACCAGCTCACACCACCCCTCAACCCCAGGGCCACTTACTGTCAAGATACCATTTCAGATGCCAAGGCTGCAGGGCACAGTGACTCTTCTCAGAAGCCAGCTCTAGGGCTGCTTGTGCCCTGGGCTTTTGTTAACAGAGCAATTTTCCCCGAGACAACAAAAGACATGAGCCTAGTCAAAAGCTTAGAAAAACCAAATGCTCACTATTTTGCATGTGGCTCCCGGAGACTCCATGCAGATGCGGAGTTTGCAGTGCAGGTAGACGATGGAGTTGTTTATAAAGGAAAAGATTCTCAGCTTAAACTGGGCCTTGTTGGAGTTGCCGTTTTCGATCACACTGGTGTACGTGTTGGGCACCGGACAGCTGAGGAGAGAGGAGATGGAATGCCTTGGTGCTACACAGGACTTGCTGTCCTTGTTCTAAGCTGGATTTGCTTACAACCACATCTGACGATGCATGCCACAGGCTCTGTGGGGGTTTGGGACTGGCCATCTCCCAAAACCCTAAACCCAGGTCCATAACAGCATTTGCCTGGCCATTCCGAGGAGCCCACAGCAGACAACGCAGCCAGGCCAGGTGCTGCCGACCCAAACCCCTACCTGTTGTTGATGAAGCCAAAGGTGACTGGATCCTGGGCATTGCTGGAGGGGGTTGCCCAGCACTCTGTCAGGACCACTTTGAGGTTGCTCTTCTGTCGGTAGAGACCCACTTCGATCTTGACATCATCACTGGCAGACACGCTATAATTCTGAGGTATGGGAGAATCTCCTATAAACAACTGCATTTCGGTGACAAAGCTCCCGGCACCATGAAGGTCCTCAATGATGGTGTACACCCTGGAAGAGGAGGCAGCTTTCAGGAGGCCCGTGTCTAGGGCCCTCTCTCGTCCCTGCTTCTTCCCCAAAAAGCATCTCTGGAAAGATGTGGAAATAAACAAAGACCATCCAAGGGGGAGCAATGGAGGCCATTTATCCAGGGCTAGCCTTTCAAGAGGTCGGCAGAGACTCACTGCAGGAGAGGAGGGGGAGTGAAAGAGAGAGGCTTAGGGGTGCCTGATGGAGGCTAAGGTTGGGAGGCTGGAGGGGCTCTCTGGAAGTAGGGGAATTGGCGGGGGGAGGCGCATATTTGGCCTTCTCTGGCGATCCTATATTGGAAGACAAAAGTTAGGAGATCTGGCAGTAATTAATTCAGTCCCACCTATGGCTTGCTTGCTTGTTCAGTTTCAAAGAAGGATGCTCTAATGGCTGAAACCCCAAAGACCCCCCAAGTAGAAGTGCTCGAGAGGATTCGGGGCTGAGCGGGCAGGGACACGTCTCCACGTACCCCCACTCCGGGGTGTAGCCCGAGGATGTCAGGAGGTCATTCTGGAAGGCGCAGTGGATGGGGCTGAGGATCTTCAGGTAGTGGATGACACCATCTGGCGACAGGTCGTTCCTTAGGGTGGTTCTCACCACTGTGGTCGTCATGTTCTGAGCACAGACAGGGAGTGCTTGAGCACCTGAGCCCCCATGGGCCCCACACTGGGCTGTACCCCTGGCTTTAGGTGCTGGGGAGGAGCAGGGGAGCTCCTTTTCTAAAACCTAACCCCCAAAGTGTCAAAACCCTTATGATTTTCCCTAATACATTTTATTTGTTTGCTTATTTATGTATTTATTTATTTATTATTCAAGGCAAAGTCTCACCCTGTCACCCACACTGGAGTGCAGTGGCACGATCACCTGGGGAGAAGAGGCCAGAAGACCCCAGAGGCTGGGGTGGGACAAAGGTAGAGACGGGAGCTGGGACTATGGGTGGGCCAGGAGGCTGAGGGACCCATGTGGACTATCTGAGGCCATCGCAGAGCATGAAAGGCACTTATGCACTCACAAATATGTAAGCACACCCATACATGCATCCATACATAGATTCACAATCACATACATTCACACTCACATGTTCACACATGTATTCACACAAGCGCACATCCACTTTTGCCCACACAGACATATTCAGACACCTACACACATGCACATTCACATCCACATGGGACTCCTTGGCTTTCCTGTCTCTGTTCCTATCCCACTGCCTCTCCACTGGTCTGTGCAGGGAGGATTGTTTAAGTTTTCACTCTGAGGCCTGCCACAGGCCCTTTGTGGCAGAATCCCTTCAGAGTGGGCTCACAGACTGTCCCACCCCATCCAAGGTACCACCTGTGCCCTGTCTGAGAACTCAGTCCTGACTCCTTAGTGGGGTACCTCACTTAGAGCCAAAGACCTCAGGGTCCAGGGTTTTGCCTGGTCTCCAGTGCCAGATATGGAACCTTCATATCAAGGTCTCCTGGGCCTAGACCGCACCCCCACACACACCCCGGTACCGAGTGTGCATCTGAGCCCAGCTCGCCCAGTCTTACGCTCTGCACGACAGTCCCACACTCGCTCCAGCCAGTCTCCAGGAGCACATGTGTGCCGTTGCTGTGGCTCACGTTGCAGGAGGGGTGTCCCAGGTACAGTGAGGACTCGGGGACGGCCTCCTGCAGCAGGAAGCGTCTCTGGATGGCCACAGCCACCTTCTCAATGTCGCAGAGCACCCTGACTGCACCGGTCAGGCTCAGCCGTGGGGGCAGGTCTTGGGGGGTGGGACCATCGCCTTGCATGGGGGCAGCTCTGGTTCCTGCTGGGCTGGTGGGCTGCTTTGGGCTGGGACCCTGGGTCATGATGCCAGGAGAGTCACCTGCAAGACACGAGGAGATGTAGGCAAAGGTGTGTGTCTGGAGCTGGCATGGAGACAAGGTAGATGATAGCCTCTGCACCTGCAGCAGCCACACCCGGAAGGACATGTTCCAGCTACACAGCCACACACATATGTGTAGCATGGTGTCCAGCATGGGCGGCTGGGCCCAGGGACCGGGAACTGAGGGCCCAGTGCTGGGCTGTGCCATGCCTGGATACGGACAGGTCTGTGGCCCTTGGAGCCCCCAAGCCTCATCTCTAAGATGGGCTGATGGCACCCCCTCTTGGGATTCCTGCTCCACTTCCTTCGTGCCCCCAAAGCTTGCTTAGTGTCAACGTCGAGGGGAACAAGGAGGCTATGGAAAGGCCTTCAACACTCCCTTCCAGGTCTGTAGACCCTGGACACATCTCTGCAGGTGCCCACACCCCACTTCAGTACTGGCTCCATTCCCTGGGCGCCTGGCTTGTGCCTTCTTTCATCTTAGAGTGGGGTTGCCCAGCACCCTGAAGCGTCTCCCAGCTCACCTGTCTCTAGGACACAGTCCAAACAGTTGCTCGTGTTTTCACAGTCTTTGCTACAGGCCTCAGACCATCCCTGGACAGCCTGCTTCCCACTCTCTGCCACTCACCTCCTGCAGATTCCCACATCAGAGGCCATGCCACCTACACCAGTTCCATTTTCATGGAGGCACCCATTCCCCATGCCCTGCCCTCCCTGCCAGGTATCATCTTAGCTATGCTTTAAGATGCTTCTAAGACACTACCTCCAGGAAGTCCTTCTTGACCACACTCATTGGGCTGAAAAAAGTTGACCTCCTCTGTGCTTCCTGATTCTACCTCAAGCAGAGCATGTTCTATGTTCCCCATGATACTGTGTTTACTGCTATAAATGCCTGTCACCCTTCACGGGACCACAGATTGCTGGACAGCAGGTGTCATCTCGGGGTCAATGCAGGTGTCATCTCGGGGTCAATGCTAAGTCCACTAAGGCCCTGTTTAACAGAAAACATGCTAAGAAGAGTGTCTGGGTGGACACATCTCCCTCGTGCTGCTTGTCACATGGCCTGTGTGTTGTTAGCAAGACCGTCTCCTGGCTTTGGCACATTTACACCAGGTGTATATGCATCTTTCTCATCTTGGATAGCAGGACTGGCACTTGGTGATACTGGCACCTTTCAGGGCCTGGACGTGTATGAAAGAATGAGAAGGAACACGCATGGGCACAGGTACACACATATACCACATGCACACACACCATACACATGCACACACCACATGTACACACACTACACATGTGCACACACCATACACACATGCACACACATACCACATATACATCACATGCACACAATGCATGTACATACACTATACACATGCACACATACACCACACATTCACACATGCACACAAATGTATACATGCCACACGTGTGCACACATAAACACACCGCATGTACACTCACTGTGCACATGCCCACACCACACATGCACACACACATGCACACATGTGTGCACAGCACACATATGCACACATCCACACACATGTATGCACATGTATACAGCATACACATGCATCACACACATGCATGCACCACATGCACACATATACACCCCGCATGCAGAAAACTTGCCCAGGACATTAAAATATGCTAGCCTCATTTGGACAAGAAGGCCCTTATGAATGAATGTCCTTAAGAACCAGTCTTCCAGAAAAAGGACTATGGTAATATTACCTTCACAGAGCCTTCCAGAATACTCCACAGGGAAGTTGGGGGCTCCTCCCTCACAGCTGCAAGTGAAAGCCCCAAAGGTGTTTCGACAGGATGTCCCAGGCACACAGTCGTCCTCCTTCCTTTCACACTCATTGTAGTCTGTGCAACATTTAAAAAACAAAACAGAAAATCATCCCTAGGGCCTGTGGGTCCACACCCAGCCTCATGGGGACAGCATTTCTCAAGAAGGACAGTTGGACCTTCCCAGGTGAGGCCAGTGGGGTGGCTCATTCTGGAGCATTCAGGGGACTTTCTGCCGAGCTGACTGGGGATGTCCTCAGTGGCTGTTATGGAAGGAGGAGTGTAGTCCCAGGACTGGGAGGGACGCTAGACCCAGCAGAGCCATCCCTTCCATTCCCTGGAGTGACCAGGAGAGGAGCAGGCCCCACACCCACCCTGGCCAGGCGGAGAGGCCCAGGCCACCTGCCTGTCACTCTTATGCTCAGCATGTTAACAACAGCACAGGTCTACTGCAGAAAGTGGGTCATGACCAGAAAATTGTGGCAAATAACATCAACTCCCCTGCACCAGCTTGGTGCTGGGCCTCCTCCTGTTCTTATAAGGCACAGGCATGCCCAACCAAGAGCACAGTTGGCCTCTGCCACCAGTGCCTTCTGTCTAAGCACACCTCAGTTCTCACGGTGGCTCAACAGCCCAAGGTACGACACCGCCATGGTTCAGCACCTCCCCTATTATGAGATGGTCCGTTGTCTCCAATTCTTTTGCCTTTGAAGACGTGCTGAAGATGAATACCTCTGTCTATAAACTATGGTCTAAGCTGAGACCTGAGTCCTCAGGATAAAGCCCTAGACTATGTGACATCCCAGCGTCCAAGCAGATGAATGTTTTTAAAGCTCTTGACATGTATTGCCAAATTGGTTTCTGTGACATGGGAGTGAATTCTATTCCCAACACCAATCTATGCAAGCACCTGCCTCACTACACTTTCGTCAGTACTAGCATTAGCAGTAAAAAGATTTTTTTTTAGCAATTTGGTTGGCAAAAAGAGAAATTTAGGCCAGGTGTGGTGGCTCACACCTATAAACCCAGCACTTTGGGAGGCCAAGACTGGAGGATTACTTGAGCCCAGGCACTCAAGACCAGATTGGGCAGTATGGCAAGAACTTGTCTCTACAAAAATGTTTAAAATTAGCCAGGCATGGTGCATGCACCTGTAGTCCCAGCTTCCTGGGAGGCTGAGGTAGCAGGATCACTGGAGTTCGAGGCTACAGTGAGCTATGTTCACACCCCTGCACTCCAGTGTGAGAAACAGAGCAAAATGCTGTCTCTTTTAAAAAAAAAAAAAAAAAGCAACTTAATTTAATGGGAATGTTTTTGATGATCACATCTTTCTTAGTCATTTGTATTTCTTTTATATATTGTCTGTTTAGGACTTCTGTACACAATATTAGGTTTTTAGTATTTATCATCCATTTGTATGATCTCTATATATTTAGGATATTAATTCTTTATCAAATGATGAAAAGTATTTTTGTGGTTTGTTTCTTGTCTTTTAATGGTGCCTTTATTTCATTTTACATAAAAGATTTACATTTTTATGTAGTTAGCATTTCAGCCTTTCCTATAAAAATCTGCCTTACTGTGAGAAATCCTTCTCACTCCAAAAATCAGAAAGTATTAACCTTCCATTTTAAAAAAGTCTTCCTTTCTTTTCTTACATGTAACTATAAGCCACTTATCAGTTATGTTCAAGTATGATGTGAGAAAAGCTCTAAACCGCCATTTTCTCTCAGCTTTTCCTTCAATTATTTTCCTAAGGTCTCCTTGGAAACTGTGCTTAGGACAGTCTGGCTGCAGCAGGGGGTGTGTATCTGCCCTCAGCCCATGGAAATGGGCAGCAGGGGAGGGGACAACACCCCCTGGGAAGCTTTGCAGGTTCACTTGAAGATGTTTTCAACCCTTAGACCATAAAAAAAAAAAAAATTAGAGTCGCAGTAAGAGTGACGAGGCTGGTCCTGTCCACTTAACGCTTTCATCTAATTCCAGGGACGATTTTAAGAGGGACACAAGAGCATGACAACAGCTTTCAAAAGTAGAGGGCAGGAGCTGGGTTCCAGCTGCCTCTGGTTCTGGAACACGGGTTAGGTCTCCGAACCAGCCTCCACATACCCCATATGAAGGTATCGCCTCTGATGACCTCCAGCAGAGTCGTGTCCTGAAAGGCGGCGAGGAATCCAGCAGACACCTCCTGGATGTCCACGTCTGCAACAATCAGCAAGTGAAACTCCACGACAACGCTGCCGTTGGTGATGCTGGTGACTTCCATCCTGATCCCACCGGCGTCCATGTCCTGAAGCAGGGTGGCTGGCAGGGAGCCCCGCACCTTTGGGGAAAGACCAGGTGACAAGAGCCACACATGACTCTTGGGCAGCCACCCTGAGGGGGCCACTCCTGGGACTCTGCCCAGCAGCAGGGCTGACCCGTGGCAGGAAGGAAGAAGCCACAGGTTGTTTCTGGATCCTTTTCCTGTCTGCCATGTCCCCAAGTTCAGCACATACACCTGGAGACATCTGTGATATAAGAAGAGTCCATGTTCCCCATAACCAGCAAAAAGTGACAGAAAGATGTCAGTAGGCAGAGTACGGGGCTAGGAGCACAGGCAGGGACCTCACAGGGCATATAACTTGTTAGCTCTCCCTAAGGAATTCAGAACCTGCTATTCTTAGCTCAGAGCTATGGAAGACGGGTCTGAGCCAACTTCCTTTTTTCTAGAACAGTCTGTTGCTGCTGATATTGCAGAACACCCCCCTTTTCCAGTCTTCCTCCCACTTGTCCCCAAACTGCTGCCTGGGAGCATTTCCGACATCCCTGCTAGGACAGGCAGTTCCCACCTCTGGAAGGCTTGCTTTATGCTCTATCCCATTCCAGCCCTCCATGCTTAAAACACCAGAAAGACTCACAATGAGTTTTGTTTGTTTGTTTGTTTGTTTGTTTTTTGAGTCAGAGTCAGAGTCTCACTCTGTCATCCAGTCTGGAATAATGACCCATATCATGCACATCTCCTATGGAAAAGGCACCTCCAGGGTTTATTCTCACCAAGAAAAACCAAGAGGTGCAGAGGCTCAAGGCCAGGGTTCAAGGATTCACCTCCTAGTTCCCAGGCTATCCAAGGTAAACAAATTCATTATCACCTCTCAGAGGCTGCAGACCCCAGAGGGGCACCCAGCTGTCTTTGGTCAGGCTGCTGCTATCTCTACTGTCTTCACAATCACAGTGCTTGCCACCCCCTCCCTTTCTCTCTCCCTCCCCCGCCCTCCATTTCTCCCTCTCCTTCTCCCCTTCTCCCTCCTCCTCCACCCCTCTCCCTCCCTCCCTCCATTGCTCCTCCCCTTTCTCAGAGGAATCTGTCACAATCTTGGACTAACGTCACTTTTAGCTGCCCTTCAAACCAGAGTTTGAGCAAAGTTCCAGGTCCCTTGCTAGAAAGTGATGGAGAACCTGGTGCCACATTAACCCACCATCTCCCAAAATTTCTCTTAACATCCTACCTAAGCAATTAGACTGAGTGTGTTGACTCACACCTGTAATCCCAGCACTTTGGGATGCCGAAACCAGAGGATTGCCTGAGCTCAGGGGTTTGAGACTAGCCTGGGCAACTTGGCAAGACCTAGTCTCTACAATAAATAAAAAAATTAGCTGGGTGTATTGGTACGTGCCTGTGGTTCCAGCTACTTGGAAGACTGAGGTGGAAGGACCGCCTGAGCCCAGCAGGTGGAGGCTGTGGTGGCCATGACTGTGCTACTACACTCCAGCCTAGGCAACAGAGTGAGACTCTGACTCAAAACAAAGACAAAAACAAACCAACAAAAAAACATCCTACTTATACAATTAGTTGCCCAATTATTTGCTATCGCAAAATTCTAGACAAGAAACATCTATTCCCCCAAATAGGCAAAGGAGTAGATGGTTCAAAGAGGAAAGATTAATCAAGAAATGTAGGATGGAGGGAGAGCCGCCTCATTTGACCACCAGAGTTAGGTGGGACCGTTTCAGTGTTTGCTGCTTAGTACTGTGTTTAACTATTAGTTAACCTAAAGGAGATGGTGACATACATTATAAAGCCATCCACAACTCTTGCGTCCATGCACTGGGTCAAGGGCTGGGAATCCCAGGCAAAATCAGGTCAAATCCCAGATTCAAATGCACGCCACTGGGACCCTTCCTGGAGGCCCCTTGATCTGTTTTATCAGGGAGTAAAGCCAATGGGAATTGAGGGCCCACCGGTGTGTTATCACATTCTGCCACCAGATGGCGGTGTCAAACTCTGTCTATTCTGCGTCTTAAACTCAGGCTGGGCCGGGTGGCTCATGTTTGTAATCACAGCACTTTGGGAGGCTGAGGCGGAAGGACTGCTTGAGCCAAAGAGTCAGAGACCAGCCTCGGCAAATAGAGAGACCTCCTGTTTATAAAAAAATCAAAACTACTAGTTGGGTGTTGTGGTGCATACCTGTAGTCCCAGCTACTAGGAAGGCTGAGGCAGAAGGATCATATTAGCCTGAGAAGTTGAGGCTGCAGTGAGCTGTGATTGTGCCACTGCATCCCAGACTGGGTAAAAGAGTGGGACCCCGACTCGAAACAAACAAACAAAAACTCAAACTCATGAAGGAAAAGCTAAAATGTGAAATTTCCACAATGCAAACAAGATCACTAGATTATGACAAGTGCATTCTCTAAACTTCACAAAGTAACCCCACCCAAAAGGAGACTTCTTAAAGGATTCTGAAGTATACTAAATTGTAACAATAAAGGCTGAGGAAGGAGGGCTGAGGAAGGCTGAGGGATAGCAGGGAGGAGGACAAGAAAAAGCAGAAAAAAGAATTTTCACTAAGGCAAGGGATCATGGCAACATCGTTCATAATAGACAAAAAGCAGATGTAACCCAAATGTCCATCAATGAATGACTGGCTGAACAAAATGTGATGTACTCATGCAACAAATATTCCCCAGCCATAAAAAAGAATGACATTCTGGCCAGACACAGTGGCTCATGCCTGTAATCCCAGCACTTTGGGAGGCCAATGTGAGAATTGCTTGAGCCCAGGAGTTCAAGACCAGCCTGGGCAACATAGCAAGATCTCATCTCTACAAAAATTTTTAAACAAATAAAATAAATGTGCCAGGCATGGTAGCATATGCTTGTAGTCCCAGCTACTCAGGAGGCTGGGATGGAAGGTTTACCTGAGCCCAGGAGGTCGTGGCTGCAGTGAGCCATGATCATACCATTGCACTTTAGTCTGGGTGACAGAGTGAGTCCCTGACTCAAAAACCAACAAAAAAGAATAAAATTCTGATACATGGATGCAACTTGAAAACTCCATCTTAAGTGAAAGAAACCAGACACAAAAGGTCACATAATGTAATGATTCTGTTTCTGGGAAATATCCATAGAGCAAGTCATGATGGCACATGCCTATAATCCCAGCACTTTGGGAGGCGGAGACAAGAGGATTGCCTGAACCCAGGAGTTGGGGACCAGCCTGGGCAACTTGGCAAGACCTTGTCTCTACAATAAAAAGAAAATTTAAATGTGCAGGTACCCTTGTACTACTGTCAATCCCATCTCCCCGCCACCCTCCACTCCACAGAACGGGGGAGGGCAGGATTGGCAGTAGTGGGATTTTGCTGAGGAGGAGGGGCACACCTCATCAACAAGGGTACCTGCATAATGAACATGTGCATACTTAACACTGAGTTGTACCTCACATCTTTAAAATAAAATAAAAACTTTGACAACAACAACAAAATTAGCCGGACGTAGTGGTTCACACCTGTAGTGCCAGCTACTTGGAAGGCTGAGGCAGAAGGATCGCCTGAACCCAGCAGGTCGAGGCTGCGGTGGCCGTGAGCATGCCACTGCACTCCAGCTTGAGTGACAGAGTGAGACTCCAACCCCCCCCCAAAAAAAAGAAAGAAAAGAAATATCCATAGAGACAGAAAGCAGAAGCAGATAGGTGCTTATCAGAGGCTGAGGGAAAGGTCGAAGATGGAGTGACCGCCAATGAGTACAAAGTTTCCTTTTGGGAAGATGAAAATGTTCTGGAATTGGATTGTGATGACAGTCGTACCACACTGCAACATAGTCTAAACCACTGAATCGTATAGTGTAAAAGTGTGGAATTTGTAGTATGTGAAATAGATCTCAATTTTTGTTGTTTTTTTATGAAACATGGGAGGTGCTTTCTGCTCCACAGGGTCCCATAATTGACAAGAAGTTTCATGGGACAAAAAACAGTGTGAAGCAAGAATGCAGCAGAGGAAAAGCTGTGTGTTCTGTCTGCTGATCCAAGAGTGTCTCTCTCTCTGCCTTGGCAGATCCGGGACCCTCAGGGAGCCAGGCTAGAGCTTAAATTCCTGCTTCGTTCAGAAATGAGGAGTTCATAGGTCCTGCAAGTCAGTTCCTGGCTGGGTGAGATTAGAATTCCTCCCACCCTCAGCCCCTTACCTCCCAGAAGGACATCAGGCCTGATGGCACCAACTTACCATCCTGAAGAACAGTTCTAGGAAATCCCGATACTCCTGGCTGCTTGTGTTGCGGAAGGATTCCAGGTAACGGATGTTTGCCAATCTGACTCTTCCACTGAGTTTCTGGGCTGCTGCAGGATGGAGAATGAACATATTTACAACAGCAACTTGTTAGATAACAGACCATTCCTTTAATCACCATCAACGTATTTTCACGTTGGCCAGGAGGAACATCACACCAAGGTTGACTTCCGCTCTAGAAAGAAGGCACGGTGCCTGGCACTCACAGACACGGCCCACCAGACTCCAGAGGACACAGGACAAAGTCTGAGCACAGATGGAGAAACTTCTGGAGACCCAGAGGCAGCTCGGTCCCTTCTACTGTTCTCCCACCCAGCCCCACAACCTCCCTCCCTGGCTGCTGTTCCCTGGGCCAGCGCATGCAGGCAATTTACTAGCAAGCTGGGACAACCTGGGGAGGGAGGGAAGGCACCATAATTTTGCCAGGACTGCAGGTGCAAACCAGGCTGTCCCAGGTAAACCAGGATTCAGGTGCCTTGGCCAGGCCTCTGCTCAGAGCCCACGTGGCAAGGGGGGGCCCAGGGGTTGTGTTTAGAATCAGCCCTTCTCCCTCCTCTCTTATGGTCTAAGAGAAGTCCCTGCTTGGGCAGTCTGTTCCATCTAAGTCTTTTTCCTCCTTGGAGGGCTTCTAGGAGTATGTGGCATGAGAATGTGGTCCAGGAATGTCACCACCTCAGCCTGGCCCCAGCACAGCAGCCGCCTGGGGACTCAGTCAATCCCTCAGCAGGTATTTTTGAAGCACCTGCCACTGGGGGCATTCTGGGCAGCAGAGGAGAAAGACAAAGCCCTCCTCTCAGGAAGCTTCGAGTCCACCCCAACCAGAGCTTCTCACCCAGCCTTCAGGCAAACCACAAAGCCGTCCCACTATGCATTCCTGGATGAACTCCAAACTACTTGTCCCTGGGGTCACTGCTGTTGCTGCAATGAAGGCCATCAGTCCAGAGACGCCACAGTGGATGCAGACAACCTCATCTGAAAGCCGTCAGAAGCAGGATGGGTGCATGGGCACGAGCAGTTGGAGACACATCCTGGGTTCCAGGTTCCATGTGCAGCTCACCCCTTCCAGAAGGCCGGGACCTTCTGAGGCCCAGCCCCGGCTCTGAGACCCTAGGGTTGCCCTGCCTGACCATCCAGCCAGCATCCACCTCTGTCCTCTCCTGTGGGCCGTGAACTTGCACAATTAGTGCCATTGTGATCTGTCTTGCTCCCTAATTCCCAGTCCACAGTTGATGAGTGCTTTAAGGTGCACAAGGAAAAGTTCGAAGCTCTTCTTGCTGCACCCTGATAGGCTACCTCAGGCATCCCCCAAGGAGTGTGCACCACTGGCAAGGCTTGGGAAGCTGCCCGAAATCTGGGGATAAACCTACCACACCAGACATACCCATGGCTATTCATGGAAGGTACTACATTTAAGACAATTCCCAGGTGCCAGATACTAGTGAGGAGAAGGGAAGAAGTTTATTTAAGTTTGTTTCATGCATCAATGTTCAGTTCCTTCTTAGTGGAGTCTGTGTCTGGTTTGTTATCACTCAATTCTATCATCACCCCTTTACTTTGTGGCCTGGACTCTGGGGGGCCACTCACAGATTGGCTGTCTGACTGCCTGATTCCTACTGTTGTCCTTCCTGAAAGCCAAGTCCTCTGAGAGTGAAAAGATCAGAGGGAATGAACATAGTTCAACACACAAGCACCACACATCTTTTTCCTGCTGCATATCCATAGGCTACATAGTGCCCTTTTTTTTTAATTTTTATTTGTTATAGAGACAGGGTCTCACTGTGTCACCCAGGCTGGAGTACAGTGGTGTGATCATAGCTCACTGCAACTTTAAACTTCTGGGATCAAGCAATCCTCCTGCCTCAGCCTCCTGGAGACTACAGGTATGGGCCACTATGCCTGGCTAATTTTTTTAATTTTTTGTAGAGATGAGGTCTTGTTTTGTTGCCCAGGCTGGTCTCGAACTCCTAGGCTCAAGCAATCCTCCTGCCTTAGCCTCCCAAAGTGCTGGCATTATAAGCATGAGCACCACGCCTGGCCTGCCGAATACTTTTTCCTGAATGAGCCGCTTCCTGCATGGCCAACAAAGATGTCATGAGCCAAATGTCCCTGCACTGAAAGGAAAACAGGAAGTCCCACAGCCCACAAACAAATCCAGATTTTTAAAATCTTAATCTACTGAAAATATTTCTCACACTTTTTTCTTCCTCCCTTTAAGAACAGAGACCCTGTACCTGTCCTCACTTTCAGGCGAGCCCGGGCACTTTCTTTCCCGCACACCCTAGCCACAATGTCCACGAGGTGTAGGATGCCAGGCTCTAGCCCAGACAGTGACATGCTCGTGTTATAGGTCTCCACCATGACAGGGCCCTGCAGAGCCATCAGGGACAGCTGGAAGGTGGGGCTCAGCACAAGATCTGCTGCCCACGCCAAGTGGAAGCTGGTGCTGGTCACGTTGGAGATTGTGATCTTTCCGATAGAGACAGGACCTGGAGTGGAATAGAAACACCAAAATTAAAGCAAGCTGTTCTGAGGAGAGAAGAAGAGACGCCCATTGCCCAGTGCCAAAATTCAAATACATTATAGTGGGGACAGGAGGGGCCACAGGTGATGCCCCCATGCTACCACAGTGCACACGTAGGTAGGGTCCTGTATGAGCTTCCCACCTTGGGCTCCTGGACTGTACCCCAGCCCTTTGGGCTGATAGCAAATGGTTTCTGACTTGGTTTTGTTTTAGAGGATAGTTCGAACACACTCCTGAAGTCCCCAGTCCCCCAAAAAGGAAGTCTCTTAGGTGGGTTCCAGGTGATTCTTTGGAAGGGTTGTCCACCCTCTAACCTTGGGTGAATTGTTCAGGGGTCTACACAGGTGACACTGCTGGCTAGAGAGCCATTCTTACAGGGAGACTGAGGGTCCCTCAACAGCACTGGCTAACGTGGATTTAAAAGTTTAGTCTTAGCCGGGCATGATGGCTCATGCCTATAATTCTAGCACTTTGGAAGGCTGAGGTAAGAGGATTGCCTGAGCCCACAGGTTCAAGACCAGCCTGGGTAGCTAGGCAAGACCTCATCTCTACAATGAAATAAAAAAATTAGCCAGGTGTGGTGGTGCACGCCTGTAGTTCCAGCTACCTGGAAGGCTGAGATGGAAGGATCACGATCACCTGAGCCCAGCAGGTCAAGGCTGCAGTGGCCATGAGCATGCCACTGCACTCCAGCCTGGGCAACAGAGTAAGAATTTAACTCAAAAAAAAAAAAAAAGAGTTTAGTCTTGGGACCTGGGCTGTTTAGTAAAAGAAATACCCAGATGGGACTTGCATTGAACAGTAGTTTGTTCTGTTTGGGTGGGATCCAGGGTCAGCTCACTCTGCATGCTCCCTGCAGACACGGAGTGTGGCCTCTGGGGGCTGTCACGGCCAGGTTGTTTTCCTGTACAGACAGAGCTGCCACCAGTCTCCTGAAGTGTCACCCAAGGGCTTGGTGATGGTAAACCCTCTACATGAGACAGCGGACCGTGGGGGCTACAGTATGGTTAGGGGTGTAGGATACATGGAAGTGCAGGATACATGGAGAGACTGCATAGAATAGCTGAATGCCAGAGCTGGGGGTGCAGAACACTTGGGGTGTAGAACATTTGGGATTCAGGACAGCTGGGGGTGCAGAACACTTGGGGTGTAGAACATTTGGGGTTCAGGACAGTTGGGGGTATAGAACACTTGGGGTGTAGAACATTTGGGGTTCAGGACAGCTGGGGGTGCAGAACACTTGGGGTATAGAACACTTGGGTTCAGGACAACTGGGGTATAGAATGCTTGGAGTTTAGAATATTTGGGGCTCAGGGCAGCTGGGGGTGTAGAAGACTTGGGGTTCCAGACAGTTGGAGTATAGAACACTTAGGGTTCAGAGCAGTTGGGGTATAGAACACTTGGGGTTCAGAACAGCTGGGGTACAGAATACTTGGAGTGCAGGACACCTGGGTGCAGAATACTTAGGGTGAATAACATTTTGAGTACAGGTAGAGCACTTAGGGTACAGACCAATTAGAGGTTAGGACAGCTAGAGGTGCAGAACATTTGGGTGCAAAACACTTGGGATGCAGGATAGCTGGGTACAGAACACTTGGGGGTCAGGAGAGCTGGAGTGCAGAACACTTAGGGTTCAGGTCAGCTAGGGTACAGAATACCTGGGGTTCAGGACAGCTGGGGTGTAGCACACTTCGGGGTAGACAGCTGGGGTCAGAACACTTGGGGTGTAGAACACTCAGAGTAAAGAACACTTGGGGTACAGGATAGCTTAGTATAGGCAGAACACTTTAGGTACAGACCATTTGGGGTTCAGGACAGTTGGACACACCGAACACTTAGGGTTCAGGACAGCTGGGGGGGTACAGAATACCTGGGGGGCTTACAGAACAGTGAGGGTATAGCATAGCTTGGGTATGGTTCAGCCATGGGGTTCCAGCAGGGCTGGGATGCAACTCAGCTATGGGGATGGTATAACCTGCTGGGTTTGGGGCAGGCTGGGACAGAGTGCTGCTTGGAGCAGGACTGCTACAGTAGCTCACACTGCGGGGGGGAGCGTCACTCCAGTGCCCAACGTGACCCTACACTCCAAAGGTGACTCCCAAAGCCCAGCACTGCCTCAGCCGCCACAGACAGGGAAATTGATGAGGTGAGAAGAAGAAGGCTGAGACAGGCAAGGGGACGAAGTTCTCCCTAACCACACCAGAAACCAGTCACCGAGGGACACACGGCTCTGCACCTTGGTTTTCTCCTGTATGAGGTGAGGAAGCCCACCTGAGCACTGCTAACAAGGGGTGAACCTACTGCTGCAGGGGCCTGCCCCCCGAAGCCCACACATGCTGCGTGTCTCCCATTGGTTCCCAGTCCTCAAGATATGTACCATCGATGCACTTACCACAGTCGGGGGTCTCCAGAGATGCAGGCGAAAGGTTCTGTGGCAGGTCTGTGGAATGGGAGGGTCCAGAGTCTTCATTCCACAGCCATGTGGGGTTCAGAGGTGTTTCCTTTGTGGGGAGGCTGGCATGCCACACAATATGGCCAGTGGGGCTCTTGCTAGGAGCAGGCCAGAAAGGTGGCTCTGTGGTGGAGTTTCCCAGTAAGAGTCCAGGGTGGGGGAGCAGACCATCTGTGGCCCCTGGAGGGGAGTTGCGGGTTGGCGCCGAAGACCTAGGAAGGGAGTCAGTGCCAGTCATCCTAATAGTGCTCCCCTGGTAGGTGCTTCTGTGGCTGATACTCCCCTGGCTGGTGCTCCCCTGGCTGGTGCTCCACCTTCTGGTGCTCCTCTGGCTGGTGCTTCCCTGGTCAATGCCCCTCTGGCTGGTGCTCCCCCGGTTGATGTTCCACCAGTTGGTGCTCCCCTGGCTGGTGCTTTCCTGGTTGGTGCTTCCCTGGTTGATACTCCACCGGTTGGTGCTCTCCTGGCTGATGCTCCCCTGGTCAGTGCTGTCCTGGTCAATGCTCCTCTGGCTGGTGCTCCACCAGCTAGTACTCCCCTGGCTGGTATTCCCCTGTCTGGTGCTCCCCTGCTTGATGCTCCCCTGGCTGGTGCTCCCCTGGTTGATGCTCCCCTGGCTGGTGCTCCCCTGGTTGATGCTCCCCTGGCTGATGCTCCCCTGGCTGGTGCTCCACAGTCCCATGCCCAGGCCTGGGGTCACACTGGGTGCCTCCTCCTCCTTGCCTTGCCCTGTGCTGTTCCTGTTTTGTCTGACCATGCCGCTGTCCCCTCTCCTGGTCAGGGGCCCTGGGGTCCAGGCCTGGTCTGCTACTGGGGTGTCCCATGGGTTTCCAGGGCTGGGTGACAAGGTGGGGGTCCCTGGGCCAAGGGCTGTTGTTCCTGTGCCAAGAGCTGGGTCTGATAGTCCTGTCACTGAAGACGGCACACCGCCCGTGGGGCTCACCACGTCACCTGCCAAGACACATTCACTGTCAGAAGGCACATCCGCCCAGAAACGTCTAAGCAAAACAAATTGGACCCCACCCACAAGTAAGAGCCCTCCCAGGAGGAAGACATAGGCATCAGCAGGAGACAGCTCCTGCTCCCCCGGTGGACCCCACGCCAGGACATGGGCTGTCTCTGTTGGTGTTTGTGAGCATTAATGGGTCCGTGTCTGCAGGCTCCTGTGCTCTGGGAAGGCAAGGCCCACATATCCATTAGATAAAGAAGAAGCTGAGACCCCCAAGGGCTGCAGAACCAGGACTCGAATACAGGGTTTGGTTCTCACAGGCCTCAGATGAATCCGTCAAGGCTTTTGGAAAGTGAAACAATTTCCCCACATTGGGGCTCAGTGTGGAACGTGGTGCCAGATGCTCTTATCAGTTTGCTGGACACTAGGTGCATAAGAAAAACACAGAAGACAAGCCATGTGGTATCAGGAAGCAGGACAATACACATAATGCTTAAGGAATACTCCCCCTGAGAAATCATGCTTCACGACTCCTGCCAGTAGGCAGGTGACCAGGTGCCTCTGCCCACACCTGCATCCAAGGTAGATATTGCTAGTCGATCACAGTATTTATATTTGCATGTGGCCCCCTCCTGCTGCTCAAATCAGTGCCCTGGTAGCCCTGACACACTGATCAGAACTGGCCCTCAAAAAAGACTTGGGGCAGAGACAGCAGGCCTGGGGCTCAGGAGAATCCCTTATTTTGGACCCTTCTCCAGCTTGCCTAGGTTTCCATACCCTCTGGGACTCCAGGTCACCCGGAAGGAAGGGATCCACTCTCCATGGCCACCAGGACTTCTATGGGCCTGAGAAACTTGCCCTTCACAGACCATTGCATCCCTCCATTAAAATAAAAGCTCTTCCCCCGCCCAGGTCGCTGGGGAGGAGTTGCCTCAGGTCTGGGCAGGGGACACGCACCCTCGCAGGTTCGGCCCACCCGGGAGGGGTTGGCATCCCTGGCTGTGCGGCACTGGCAGGTGTAGGAGCCCTCCAGGTTGATGCACTGTGCAGCTGGCGAGCAGTCATGCTCAGAGCTGTCCACACACTCGTCCCAGTCTGCAGGGAGAGACACAAGACAGTCTGTAAGAAGAGGGCCTGAGATCCTTCAGAAAACAGAGTGGTGCCAGGGTGGGTCCTCCTGACTGTCTTTGCAGCAAACAGCCAGGAGCAGACAGCCCTTCTTGGGGAGAGACATGGCATCAGTCCAAACCTGGGGTGCCCAGCACTCTGGGAGAGAGGCCCTGCACAAGAGCCCATCCCTAGACACCTGACCTGGACCCAAAGCAACAAGCTAACAGCCTGCCTGCAAGGACACTTATGCTGTTTAGTTTATTTGGGGACAAACATTAGGACATGTTGGTTCTTTTGGGTGGTATCAGCACCCACAGGTGTGACTATATCTTTTTTGCTTTGTTTTATTTTGGTTTTAGAGAGAGAGAAGGCCTAGCTCTATATGGTGCAATCATAGCTCACTGCAGCCTAGAACTCCTGGGCTCAAGTGATTCTCCCATCTCAGCCTCCCTGGTAGCTGGGACTACAGGTGTGTACCACCATGCACCAGCTAAGTTTTTTGATTTTTTGTAAAGATGGGGTTCTCGCTATGTTGCCCAAGCTAGTCTCAAACTCCTGGCCTCAAGCAATCCTCCCATCTCAGCCTCTCAAAATGCCAGGATTATAGGCCTGAGCCATCGCACCCGGCCATATTCCTTTCTTATTTACTCTTTATTCTCACATCCAAAAAGCTGAGATGCTTTCTCTTCTCTCTGATGTGCCAACATTTCCCAATATTTAGTGTTTCAACCAAGAAATAGAAAACTCACTGAGCCAGCAGACTTAGCCTACGTGAACTTTCTGTGTCATTTTCAAGTACCCAGACGTGTCAGCAGGTATAGGAAGGGCCTGTGAACACCTCCTCCCATGCCCCCAAAGACTCCATGTGAGGTCATGTCACTGAGGGGCCCTGGCCCTTCTAACTTGGGCAAGGAAGCTTGTTAGGTAAGCCCTGATCCCAGTAATCTCTCCCAACTCCCCCCAATCCTTGTGCAACCTATCATCCTCCACACCCCCACCCGTGCCCAGATAAGCCCCACATTTTCCCACCAGGGTCCAGGTGGGACCATGACACAGGATATTCCTCAGGGATGCCATTCTCTTCTCCTTCTCCCGCCTCCCCTCTCCCTCACCTTTCAGTCTCCCTGGTGATCGCCACCCCATCCCAGTAATCACTCCAAGAAAGAATTTGATAGTCCTGTGTATTTTGACACATGGCTGAGAGTAGTCATGAATAAAACCTCAAGGATTAAATATCGCAAGCTATATTTTAGGCTGGGAGGAGTGGGGTGGAGGACCATTTTCCCACTGCCCTACAATTCCATCCTTCATCCTAGACCCTTCTCTGCAGAGAAGCCACTTGGTTGCTAGACTAAGATGTTGCCTGGGGTGCCGCTTGCTGGCTGGGGAGGCTCTGAACCAGCTATCTCTACCTGAGGGACAACCTGGGGGGCCAGGGTTGGGGAGAGAAGAGTGTAGTTCCCGCAGGGTTAGGCTGAGCTGGGGCCAGTGAGGGTCAGGCCCTCCCAGTACCTTCTGCAATACTCCTGCTAGCTGCAGGTGCCCAGGAATGCACCAGCCCACACCCAACATGCCAGGGGGCTTCCATTCAGTTGGGATTTAAACCAAGATAAGGGATTCATTAAATTCTGTGCAAGGAAAACTCTGCTGCAGAGCACTCAGAGGCTTGTTACCCCCCTCCTCTGTCCCCCGTTGGGCTTCATGTGTCTCCCAGAAGCAGCTTCTCCAGAGATCAGTAAGCTCGTCAGCAGCTGCAACAGTTATGCCACCACCCAGGCACAGCCTGGGGACTACCTCACCACCAGGGCACTGTTGGGGCCAGCCCACACATCTTCCTAGGAAGCCTGCAGGTGGCTCTCCCGGGGGTGTTCCAGGCCAGGGTGGGAGCCCAGGCTGGCTGGGTCACAGGCCATGAAGAGCAGAAGAGGTTCCGGTCAAGACGCCAGCTCAAACCACTGAGCACCTAGCATCTATTTTTAGCACATGGTGATTCACCTAGCCTTCATGTCCCCTGGCAGTCATGCAGAGTGAGGCCCCAACAGTTTTATTTAGTCTTATTAAGCCCCAAGTTCAGCCAGTCCTTTGGTTCAGAGGAAGAGCAGGAATGGGCTGCCAGGAGGCTGTGACTCCCAGGCAGAAGTATCCCACCTGAGCTGGCCCCACCCAGAACAACAGCCAGGGGGAGGGTCTAAGAACAGAGACAGATCCCAGACCTCCTGGGGCCACCCCATCCCTTCAAGGGGCAGGGTCTTTGGCGGGCCACAAGCCATCTTTCGGGGCTGGGGCACCCCCCAAAAGGGACACCTGGTCCAGAGGCCTCGGACTCTCTTGGGGCTGTGTCCGAGGATCTGGTTCCAACACCACCACACAGATGCTGAACAAAAAGCAGCACCGGCGAGACAAAGGAAAGAAAGCCACCTGCAGCAGTCAGCCTGACCAGCAGGCAAGGGGAGCAGTGATAGTCCCAGGCCAGGCACCCTTGCTCATGGCCCTTCTCCCATGCTGCAGAGGGGATGGAAAGGAACAGTATGATGCAGGAGAGGCAGATGGCCAACTGGAAGCTTCTGGCAGCTCAGCTCAGCCTGCTCTGAGCCTACCCAAAGATGGGTGCACAGTGGTATGCTTCCAGGACACCAAAGACCCAAGAGGCCTCTCACCCAGAGGGATGTCATTGGTAGAGTCTGCTCCCTTGGCAGATGTAGGTACAGAGCCTGGGACATGAGAGTCCACAATGATGCGTCATAGAAGCCCAGTGGTCATCCATACCTTAGGACAAATGAGCACTGGGTGAGACTCTCCTGAGAGCAGATGTCACGGAAGAAGAGAGGTAGGGGTCATGCTATTAGAAGCAAAAGATTAAAGGGGAGTGATGCTAGAAGAGAGGAGCCCCCACGAGGAGGAGGGACCAGTGGGGACCCAGGAGATGCTGGCTGACCTTGTGGATGAGCGCTCATCCTAGATATGAAAGTTAATCCTAAAAAGACTTCACCCTGTGTGTGGGATGTGATATCAGATGTGCATCACCACTGTCCCAGGCCTTGTGCTAAATAAACCTCACACATGCATTGTCCCTCAGTTCACTCAACTACCCTAAGAGGTGGGAAGTTGCTGTAATCCTCCCACAGATAAGCTCATTTCACAGATGAGCATACTGAGGGTCAAAGGGGAGAGCCACTTGGGTAACCTCCCACAGTAAGTGAGTGTCAGAGCTGGGATTCCAACCCTGTTCCTCCTCACTCAAACCACCACATGCTGCCTCTTCCTATGGGGCAAAGAGAGCAGAGGGTGGTAGGGCGTGGCCACAGCCAGGAGGGCATGGCTCCTGGGGCTGGAGTGCTCAGCCTCAGGGATCAGCTCCAGGACTTAACCTTCTGAGGAAAAATTGTAGACAAATGCATGGCCATCCATTGACCCACTGACTGGTCCAGAAAACCAAGGGCCCCAGGACAGCGGGTATAAGGGCAAAGATGAGGTCATGACGACCCAACCTCCAAGCAGGCTGCTGTCAGCTTCAACAGCCAGGACTGGGACATGTTGACTCACAGGCAATACGTGCTCCAGAATGATCCAAGAATGCTCCCATCATGCCGACAGTATTATTTCTGCGTGAGCCACAGAGCACAGAGCTTTTCCTCTTGTGAGGAGCTTTCTGTGCTGCAGTTGGCCGTTTTTTACAGAATAGCATTAAATGTTCTTCTCCTGCAGGTCCTCGCCCTAAAAGTGGGACTCAGGGAGGGGAGAACATCCCCCGACAAGCTGAGCTTGGACCAGTGCTGCCTCCCCAGGGAGGGACAGTACCCCATGCTTGTTCCACCAGCTCTGGTGTCTGAAGAAGCCAGCGGTAACTGGGTCACAAGATTCTACATCCTGCCAGTGCACAGCCTGAGGCCTTGCCATCCCGCCCACGGCGACTCGCAGCCCAGGAGACCTGCCCACGCAGTCACTCAGCTCCTAAATGTGAAGAAACCACCCACTGCTTGTCAGGAACTCAGCCGGGCAAGAGCCTGATCAAGGTGCTTCTGAGGGGTGTTCATGGGGAATGGGGTGGTGGGAAGACTTGAGACAGACTTATCAAATATTAGAAATGCAAGGCCTATCTTCTTTTGTATGGTCTTCCTGTGGCTGCTGTAATAAATTACCACCATCTGGGGGCCTTGAAGCAACAAGAATTTATCCTCATAGCTCTGGAAGCCCCAGTCCACAGTCAAGGGGTCTGCAGGGATATGCTCCTTAGGTTCTGGGAAAGAATCTTCTCCTTGCCTCTTCCAGTGTCTCATGTCTCCAAGAGTCTCTTGGCTTGTGGCTACCTCGCTCCAATCTTAACCTCTGGGAACACGGCTTTCTCCTCTGTGTGTCTGTATCTTCTCCTTTTCTGTCTCTCCTAAGGAGGCTTGTCATTGGATTTAGGGCTCACAGCAAATCCAACTACAGGACGATCTCATCTTGAGGGCCTTACCCCAATCACATCTCCAAAGACCCTTATTCTAAATAAGATCACATTCTGAAGCTCCAGCTGAACACATCTTGGGGGGCACTGGGCACCATTCAACCCACCACATCTCTCCTGCCCAAGGTCCTCATTCGACAAGGATCTGGAATAGTCTAAGCCCCAGCTCACAGAGGAAGGGAGGAGGGGAAGCAGGACTGGCTGGATACACCTGAAACTTTGGTCTCAGGTGGGTGGTAGGGACACGCACTGATGACCCCACTCACAGGATCCTGAGCCTCTGCCTGGCCCTGACCCTGGCAACCCAGTCAGGTGGGGTCCTACCAGGTGCAGGGGCCACTTCAGCACCTCCAACCTTGGGGAGCACCAAGTGATCCCCAGGCTGAGCAGACAGGGGTTTCTAGGCGTGACTTCAGAGTGCAGACCCCTCTCCCAGCCTGTTGGCACTTCTGGTGGGGAAGGCTGGGACAGCAAGCCAGCACATGGCTGAGCTCCAAGAAAATGATGGGGGGACGGCAGGGGACATCCATTCTACAGATTGGGCCCAAACTGAGGTGCGTGTGTGTAGAGACTGTGTGTGCTCTTGCTGCAATGAAAACAGCAAAACCATCTCTGTCTCTCTCTGTCTTTGTGCCTCTCTGTCTACCTCTGGCTCTCTCTTTATCTCTCTGTCTCTGTATCTCTCTCTGTCTCTGTCTCTTTTTCTATGTCTCTCTCTATCTCTGTCTTTGACTTTCTGTCTCCATCTCTCTCTCTCTCTGTCTATTTCGATGTCTCTGATTCTGTCTCTCTATCTCTCCTGCATCTATAACTTCCTGCTTCAAGACAATATCAAGTAAAATAAAATAATGCACAGGCTTATTCTTAATAGAATAGACCCACAAGTGGGCAGTTGCATGGCCGCGGTGCTGGGGACCCTGACCAGACACGGTAAGCTCCTGTCCCCATCCCCTATGGGGGCCCATTAGCACCCATTTGCCCAGTGTTCTCTGCATGAGAGGTGAGATGCAGGTGGGCTGAGTGCTCGGGGTTACTGCTATGGATCCCTGGTTCCATGGAGGAACACAGAAGAAGGATGTACATTTCCTTCGCTTTATTATCTTTAAGAAGAAAGGAAAGACAAACACAAAACACAGTCACTCAGACTACTTCTGAGATAGAAGGCATCACACCACTTGGTAGGAGAGGGTGTACCTTGCACATGCGTCCCCTGCTGGTCAACCTGGAACGCTGTGCTTGCCAACAGGGGCTGGAGCATGGGGGACAGTGTGGAGATGCCCACAGGAAACACAGGATCGTGCACTATGAGCCTGAGTCTCACAACCACACTTCCCGCCTGGAGAGACACGATCTGCAGCCTCAGCTTCCCGCTTTGGTACAAGTCAGACACCACCAGTGGGAAGGCATTCTCAACCTGGGGGAGAAGAGGCAGTACGACTCAGACAGAGCAAACATTCAGCATCTCCAGAACCATCAAGCAGGGCCCTGGTGTGAATGGTGGACGGTGCACAGAAGCCATTTCTCTCCTTTGCAATCAAGAGGGGGCGTCCAATGCCCAACCTCTCAAGGTAAGCAGAAACGCCTACTCTGCTCATAGTAGCCAAGGTGGGCTTTCCCTGGGGCAGTTGCACCTGGCCTTCTCTGCATTGGAGAACTCACAGTGACCATGGAAATCAGGGTTCCAGTCAAAGAGCACCAGATGAACAAGCCACTCAAGGTGTCCTGAAAACTGTCATGAAAGTACTTTGCATGGGCATATGAGAGAGACTGTTGGGTTGATTGACAGACTGATTGACAGATGAAGAGGGCCACCAAGAGACAATCCCTGTGACTATTTGGAGCTGTCCTCCCTTGTTACTGGGCTGTATCTCCTGGAAAACACATACATAGAGCCAGGTGCTCAAAGTCTTCCGTACTCAAGCAAGGAAGACACCAGCCTCCCCACTACCCTGCCTTCCTGTCACTCTGTTCCTGCACTCACAAGTGAATTAACATTGGAAAAGAGAGAGAAATCTCTAAAATCATTTAAACCTGATTCCTCATGCAGGGAATGTTGGGAGGCGACCCTCATGGGCCTCCTGCATTCCTATACAATATCTTGCAAGTAAAAGCACTAACTTCCTATTTGTTCCAGAATATCTTTCCCAGGATGTTAGTATAGTGAACTGCCTTGGGAAATGGGTAGTGGCTTCCTCCGGAGCAGAGGGCAAGTTTATCTACCCAATATGACAACGGTAATGTCTCCTTCTGGAGCAAGGTTTGCTTGCAGCTCCTTATAAAAGCTTCAGGTTCCCTGAGTTTGGGGTTCCTCAGCTGTGACACAGACACACTTTGTAGATACCATCCACCCAGGTCCCTCTGCATCCTCTGTGGGACTTGGGGACAGGATGGGGAACTGGCACGAATATGATGTTCATGCTGTCTGCCATGCTGTGAGTGATAAAGTCCTTGGTCTCTGACCCAGAGTTTCATATCTGCTGCGGCGTCCATGAAACTGCAGCAGACTCACGTGTTAGTGAGTTAGGGTAAAATCTGACGTTTTATGATTCCCGGCAGTTTAGGAAGTCACTTTTTTCTCCAATTCACCATCCATAGATAGATGGCATTTCACCTGAGTCTAGTTCTCGCAGGCTGTGTGCTGATGTCTCTCTTTAGACACAAGAGGGGAATGGATGTTGTGATCATTGGTAAATGTTTCATTAAAGAAGCTATGACAAAGCCAGAGCCCTGAGACAGATGGTTTGACAGAAAACCCAGCTGTACCAGCAAGTGGGACAGGCCATTTGAATAAAGGCACATATTTTAAAGATGGACTGGTCCAATATCGAGATTAAGCACCCCATAAAAGGAGCGGGGGAGGCTTTTGAGTAATTACTGTGCAATTTGGGTTTGGCCTCCCCTGAGGAGGCCACAATCACAAAGGAGGAGCTAGGCAGAAATTTCTGGCTTGTGGATACCCAAGAAAAGTTCACCGAGTCTGCATTCTGGCCTTACCTCGTGAAGCAGCTGTCTGGAAAAGTCCTGGTACTCGATGCTGCTGTGATTGAGTAAGTCCTCCGTCAAGTTGCGGTTCATGATCCTGATCGTCACTTCAAACATTTGGGCGTCTGAGACAGACAGTAAAACAATCAGCTGAATTCCTGCGGCTAAAAGTCATGCGCTTCTCTGTTAATGTTTTCCATGAAGCCTATTCTTTGGTGAGGAATTAAAAAAAAAAGAAAAAGAAAATCCCAGGTTTTTGGAAGTCCAAGGCAGGAGGATTGCTTGAGCCTAGGAGTTTGAAACCAGCCCAGGCAACATAGCAAGACCTCATCTCTACCAAAATAAAAAATAAATAAAATAAAATAATTATCCGGTGGCGGTGGAGCACTCCTGTAGTCCCAGCTACTCGGGAGACTGAGTCGGAAATATTGCTTGAGCCCAGGAGGTGAAGATTGTGGCGAGCCACAATTGTGCCTCCAGCCTGGATGACACTGCACTTCAGCCTGGGCAACAGAGTGAGACCCCAACTCAAAAAAAGAGAGGGGCTCACAGGCAAACTGTTTGCAATACAGAGAAGGGAAGAAAATCAAGGTCAGAGAAAGGAATGAACTGGTAATTCAGAAGCCTTCTGGAATCTTCTAAATTATCTCTACCCGGCACGGGGATGTACGTATCTTTTCCTGAGGGCCCAGGTGGGGATGCAGCTACCAAGTCTAGATGCTGCAGTCTAGCGGGTGGTTGTATAAATATATCCACCTCTCAGGCCTCAGTTTTCCTAACGGGAAAAGAGTGCTTTTTTTTGCTTAATCTCTGAACTACTCTAAAAATAGAATGAGGAGATGAGGCAGCATCTGCTTGGAAGTAGAAGCTTCGTGCAAAGTCAAGGGCTTGTGTTTTGCATGACTGGGGTCCTTAGGGGCCCTGTGGATGCCCGCACTGGGTGCTGTGCTGAAGTAGCACAGGATCTGTCCCAGCTCAGTTCATAAAGGGTTTAAGGCAGAGTCTCAGAAAGCCTGCTCCATCCATCATTCATTCTCTGCCACCAGTCACTGTCATCAGCACTAACCTCTGAGTGTGAGACAGACCCCAACATGGTCTTTCACAGAGCGGTCCCTGTGCTCTGCTGACTGCTGAGACACTGAGCCTGGAGCCCCCAGCCTGCTCTCCAGCAGGGACACACACATTGAGAACCCAGGACCAGAAAGGAGCACCCCAACACTCATACCCACAGTCGCAGAGGCAAGCTTGAGGGAAAACCTCCACCACCAGGCTAACTGGACTGAATGTTTACACCACCTGGTACCAGGCTAGGGTAGAAGAAGATATAGGCAGTGCCAAGTGAGTTTCCTCGGGGAGAGCAAGATGGGTCCCACCAGCTGCCTTCCTGATACCAGAGTTCTGAGTTCATGCATGTGTCATGTTTGTTTGGAGGAAGAAACATTCCCTCTTGGCACACGTGCGGTGGGCATTGCGTTAGCTCTTACATGTCACATGCATCATGCAGGAAACGAGGTGTGACAACTAATGCAATGCTCAACTCTGGGTATGGGAAGTTACAGAGCCTCAGCCCCATGGGGGGAAGTATGGCAAGGTTTTGACATGCCTGCTGAGGGTTGCCACCTTCTACCTTTTATTTGTTTATCATTTTTGTAGAGACAAGGTCTCACTGTGTAGTCCAGACCGGTCTCAAACTCCTGGGCTCAAGTAATCCTCCCACCTTGGCCTCCTGAATAGCTGGGATTACAGGCATGCACCACTGCACCCAGCTAATTATCACTTTTTGTGCAGGGTCTCACGATGTTGCCCAAGCTGGTCTCGAACTCCTAGGCTCAAGCAATCCTCTTGCCTCGGCCTCCCAAAGCTCTGGGACAAAGGCATGAGCTATGCACCCAGTCATTCTGCTTTATTATTATTCTTTTATTTCAATCTATTTGATGCTTTATTGGCGCTTCAGAGCTCATATGTTGTCTCCTCAGAAGTCAGAGTGAGGACGAGATTCAGGGAAGAAAGGGAGCCTGTGAAGCCACCAATGGGCCCATGCAAGGTCCCAGTGAACCATGGGCTTGCTTGGAGGGCCTGGAGGACATGTGGGGCTGGATCAATGACTTCTCATGCCCCAGAGTCTCACTCTGTTGCCCAGAACGGAGTGCAGTGGCACGCTCATGGCCATCACAGTCTCAACTTGCTGGGCTCAGGGGATTCTTCTGCCTCAGCCTTCCAAGTAGCTGAAACCATAGGCATGTGCCACCACACTCAGTTAATTTTTTGATTTATTGTTGAGACAGTCTCACCATGTTGCCCAGGCTGGTTTTGAACCCCTGAACTCAGACAACACTCTTGCCTCCCCCTCCCAACGTGCTGGGAGTACAGGCTTGAGCCACTGAGCCCGGCTCATGCCATGATTTATAGAAAGTACAAGGTGAAGCACAAGGGCCCACAGAAGTGGGTTAGAGAGACAAATTCACAAGCTAGCATGGCTCTCTGATTGGTGGCCTTACCAGTTTTGATGGTCAGCATGGCAGAGACATGGGCCCCACACCCCTGGTAGCTGATCTCCACTTTGTACAGCACTCCAGCCTCCAGCCCAGACACCACCATGGCCAGGTCCCAGGTCCTGGTGCTCCTGATTAACTCTTTGCCCCTGTAAACCTGGACAAGGAACGTGCGGCTCTGGGTAGAGTTTAAACTCCAGGACACTTGAAAACTGCTGCTGGTAACATTGAGGACCATGTAGTCACTGATTGGAGGACAATCTGTGGAAGCACAGAATGAGGAAGGGGTGCAAAGCATCAGAGAGGACAGCTCTATCTCTGAAGCAGGTGACACAGTCCTGTCTCAGTTTAGTTCTCACCTATGTGAGGATCAAGTTGGCCGATGCAGTATAGTACATGCTTTTTTAGCAATTATGAATTAAACCCATTAATTCAAAAAAGAAGTATCAACCTTTTCCTTCTTGAGACTTCTGCAATATTGGAAGGTCATTTCAGATGGCATTCGAGGATGGGGTATGCAAGATGACATGGAGAAGCAAAAAGAGGTCTGAGGTTGAAATTTCAGCCCTTCTCTCATGGAGCCAAGTTGGAGGGCTGACTAGGCCACATGTGTCTCAATCTACCCAGAGTAACACTGCAATGTGTGGGGTATGGTGGGCATGCCTTGTCTAGTCACAGTAACTCAAGCATACACTGGGAATGACCCTATGGTAAATGTGTTCCTTGGGAAATGTATGTTGAGTGTTCTGAGGGATGGACTCCTAGGAAATCCAGCCTGGATGTTTATGCCATACCTGTAAAGAATATCTGAGCCCTGGCCTATTCCTTGGGACTCTGGGTACATAAGGTACCAAGGCCCTTTGTTTTAAGATAGGTGGAGACTACTAAGTGGAGGTTACTCTGTGAAAATTACTCTATAACCTGCATGCTTGCCACACACAGGAAAGGGGTTTTTGTCCTATCCAGCAGGCCGCCCCTGGATGCCTGGTGTATAAATCTCCAGTAAACCCTATGTCTCCCCACTGTCTCTGGGTCTTTTATTCAGGTTCTCAGAGACTATGCTGTCTGACCCTGATGGTCTTACTGTGGGGGGGGGGGGGGGGGTGAGTCCTGCATGACATGTGACCTTATTTGTGACCAGAGAGCCAAAACAATCTTTCTGGAGGCCCGTCGACAGAATCATTGTACAGGAAACATTTGGAAAATGGCCACCCCAGGGTGATGTTTCTATGTTGCATCTGCAAATACTGCCTGGTCGCAATCACAGGGTCCTCGGCTGCTCTGACTAATGACGGGCACTTGATCATTTGCACAAGAACTCTTACCTTGGTCTGATTCATCACGCTGAAATTATGACCCCAGGGAAGCAGGACTCAGGGCAGGCTGAGTGTCCTTTATAGCCCTTTATAAATGTTGTCCTATTGAAATCCATGCTTCAGGGAGCAAAACTTGAATGTACCAACCTATATATATTCTAGAACTCAAATAGAATTAAAGCTCTTTTAAGAGTGAAAAAAATTCCGACTCTCCAGCAGGTACAGGACAGCATGAATTATATAAAAAATAGATGGCCCTCAGTCCAGGCACCAAATTTTTCACATCAGACTTTCAGTTCTATAAAAACAAGCAATGAGGAATGCTTTTAAAATACCTTTTGCAAAACCATCATAAAGAAAAAATAATTTTGCTCGGCATACTGGTTCACGCCTATAATTCCAGCACTTTGGGAGGTAGAGGTGAGAGGATTGCCTGAACACATGGGTTCGAGACAGCCTGGGCAATTTGGCGAGACCTCATCTCCACAATAAGTAAAAAACATAGCTGGGTGTGGTGGTGTATGCCTGTAGTTCCAGCTACTTGGAAGGCTAAGACCAAAGGATCACCTGAGCTCAGCAGGTTGAGGCTGCAGTAGCTGTGAGTGTGTCCCTGCAATCTAGCCTGGGTGACAGAGTGAGACTCTGGCAGAAAGAAAGAAAAAAAGAAAGAAAGAAAGAGAGAGAGAGAGAGTGGGAGGGAGGGAGGGAGGGAGGGAGGGAAAGAAAGAAAATTTTAAAATGTGTGGTTTTCCAAAGCCTGTGATGTAAGGATTCATAGGATATATGCTTTCTAGTATCAACAAAAAATTCCGTGTTTGCAAGCACATGCATCTGCTTTCTCTCAATTAAAAAAAAAAACCCACAAAAAAACAATCCAATCCAATTCATTTCCCTTTTTGCCTTGGCTGCCAAGAGGCTCAGAATCAAATTTAGTGACCCATCATAGTCATGCAACATAGCACTGCTGTCTCCTTCTTTTGATCTAAGCACTGGGCTGCCTTTTATGAGTTGTGGTCCCCTGTGGATGTGTATCTCTCCATGGTGAGCCCTGTTGGACCCACCTCACAGTAGGCTGGTATAAATGGCTGAAATTTGGATAGGACTTACTTAGATAGGATCAGTAACATCTATCCAAATTCTGGCTGTATCCTAATAACACTTCTAAGGTGAGGAGGCAGCAGAGAATGTATCTTTTAAAAGACATATCCATACTCTTTACTGAATTATGCAGCATTTTTCTGCATATTGGTAACAGGAATAGACATAGTCACAGCTGTTCATTTGTTATGATGTTTTCCTTTGTGGTAAGAAAAGTAAAACATACTTTAGCTGAAGGCGGCCCCAAGCTTGGAACCTGAGACTGCGGGTCACACCCCTGTCTCCAGGGTCACTGGAATCCTGGAATCAAAAACACCTTCGAACAACCACACAGCTTGTGAGTCTGTTCCTGGGGAACATATGCCTCACTGAAAAAGGAAGGAAGGGCTACAATTTTTTTCTAAAAATCTGCTGAAAGTGCCGACTGTTCTATTTTAGGATAGTCAAGACACAGCACCAAGCATTTTTTATCCACATCAGTGGAGGATGATGTGACAATACTACACCTCGCAAATAGGCCAGCGGGGGGCTGAGAGCTGTCCTGGCAGCCTGAGAGCAGCCCTTGCCACATTCAGGGCTGTGACCCTGTCTCCTTGTTGCCATACAGAAACAAAACAACACAATGGACAGATGTCCTACCCATACTATGGGCCATTTAAAAGCACATTCTGCTGGGCACAGTGGCTCACAACTATAATCCCAGCACTTTGGGAGGCCAAGGCAAGAGGATTGCCTGAGTCCAAGAGTTCAGAATTCGCCTGGGCAACATGGTCAGAACTCATCACTACAAAAAAAAATCAAAAAAATTAGCTGGGTATGGTGGCACATACCTGTAGTCTCAGCTAACTTGGAAGCCTGAGGCACGAGGATCACCTGGGCCCAAGAGGTTGAGGCTGTGGTGGCCATGAGTGTCACTGCACTCCAGCCTGGGTGACAGAGTGAGACTCTGACTCAAAACAAACAAACAAACAAAAATAACAACATATTCTGTGAAGAGTGCTTCTTAGCCGAGTGGAATTAAAAGGGTACCCAAGAGTATCTCAAAAGCACACAGAGGCCTGGTGCTAGGAAGCAGGCTAAAACAGTATCAAGACCGGCAACGCACGTATTGCCTCTTTTGATAACATATATTTGCTCTTTAAATTAAGATGCCAATGAGTCCTTGGACTGAGGAACTGCATACCTGGCATTCAATGCCATGAAGCCCTTGGAGGCATCCACAGAAGCTGCTGTCAGTGGTTTCTGCAGCTAAGAGAGACTGAGAGCATCTGGAGAAAGAGAATCCTTTCCAATCCAAAGAAATGCAACTACCTGAAGATAATGCTCCCACTGAACACACGTGTGGCTCATCCTCCAGTTGATGACTTTGAGGCACTTGAAATTGTTCATATTTGACCAGTTTTGATCAATGGCATCAACAATTTTATATAGCTTAACATTTACCGAGCACCTACAGTAATCTCCCTACATTTGAACAAGTTCTGTTCTGAAGTGTTCTGCAGCACATTTGTATGTCCAACAAAATTAAGCCTAAGTGCCCAACTAACACAATTGGCTATATAGTACTATACTTTAATAAGTATATAATACTTTTCACAAATAATACATAGAAAACAAATAGTACTGTACTGTACACAAAAACACAACCACCTGTAGAGGATGTACACATGTAATAATGTACTCCAGACATGTGAACTCACTTACATGATTGGACATGCAAATGAACATTCACATTTTGAAAGTTCTCAGCTTGAAGGTTCATATGTAGGGGACTTACTGAATTATGCACCTAGCACTGAGGAAACAACTATGAATTATTCATCATAACATCCAAACCAGCAGGATCAACATTGTAGCAACAGTAGGAATTCACAGGAAGCTATGAATTAACTCTCTGCCATGTGCCCAAAAAATGACATGCCATGTGCCCATGAAGTCTCCCTACCCCCAAAAATGACATCCATGTCAAGAACCACCCAGGCCACCAGCAACATGGTTACAGCTAACATTTCCTGGGTGCTGTGTGCATCACACGTGGTATCCTGTTCAGTCCTTACAAAAACATCAGGCAGGTAATAGGTTCTTCTAAGATCTCCATTTTACAGAGGACGAAACTGAGGCCTACAACAGTCAAGCACGTAGTAAATGGCGATGCAGAATGACAACGAATGATGAAGTTCACTTGCTGTCCCCCTAAGCTATCCTCCCACTGGTCGTGGGCTGAAGAATAACCTTCAACCATGTCAGGCCCTAATTCCTGGAAATTGTCAATGTGACTTTATTTGGAAAAAGGGTCTTTGTAGGTGGGATAAAGAATCTCGGGATGGAAAGACTATCCTGGATTTTTTCAGGTTGATCCTAAATGTAATCACAAATATAATCTCTCTTTATGAGAGAGAATCAGAGGGGATTTACACACACACAAGAGATGCCACAGAGAGATGATGAAGATGCTGACCCCTAACCCATGTTATATGATGCAGCCACAAGTCAAGGAACATTGGCAGCCACCAGAAGACAGAAGAGATGAGGAATGGATTCCCCCAGAGCCTCCAGAGGTATCCAGCCCTGCCGAACCTTGATTCGGGAACAGTGACACCTATTTCAGATTTCTGGGCTTCAAAACTGTGACAAAATATGTTTCTGTTGTTTTAAGCTTCCTAGTTGATTGTGATTTACTAGAGAAGTTCCAAGACACTCACATACCTCCTTTCATTAGTTTTCAAGGCAACCATCCTTCTGGCTGGACAGAGCAACTTCCCAGAGAACTTTCCTTTCCTTCCTTCCTTCTCTTCCTTCCTTTCTTCCTTCCTTCCTTCCTTCCTTCCTTCCTTCCTTCCTTCCTTC